TAATCATTAATCATTAATCATTAATGATATCAAAGTTGGGAACACTCCTAATGGAGCATTAGCCACTATCTCTCTCCGCACCGGTTATTAGACTTCAAACTGCAAGGAACTATATCCAACATGGAGAGAGACAGAGTTGATCAAATAGACACATCGAGACTGCAGATTGCAGTAGAAAAAGCTTCGGTTTTGCAATTAGGCCCTACTTAGCCACAGTCTGAAGAATTAGGTAGAGAATTCCAATATATCATATCATGAATATATGGGAATTGGGATGACAGAAACGAAGAAGCTAAACTTAAGGGGATCCTTTGAAGAGGGTACATGTCGAAAGCAATGATCACGCTCAGTTGATCGAGTGCAACGAATAGACGTCAGTGCTAGTGTAGTGGGAATGCTAGTGTAGTGTAGTGGGATGTAGTGTAGTGTAGTAGTAATGCTAGTGTAGTGGGAATGCCAAATTTCACGCGTGTATGATAAATAAATATTATTATTAAGAATGACGTAGATATTCTTCCGAGCATCGGAATTGCGTTCAGTCACGATATCGCAGAAAAATAATGTTGCCTAGTTCGATGTAAAACTTTATATGTGAGGCATATGCTTTCGCACACAATTTCAAATTTGTTTATTGCAAAATGTGAAATATCAGCACCTATACTATAGTCCAAATACTCTACGATGCTCGGAAAAATAGCTCTAAACGGCCAGTTTCCGATGCTCGGAAAAATATTCCAACCGAACGCGTTTCTGATGCTAGGAAGAATATATTGCTATGGAAACATCAACACCTATATAGTGCAAACGAAGCTTCTGATATTCTAAGATGCCTGGAAAAATGTCAGCCGAACGTGTTTCCGATGCTCGGAAGAATATATCCACGTCTATTTTTATCCATTTAGTCCATATTTAAAAAAAATGTGCAAATTAGGTAGGCTTTGGCAATTATATAGCATATTATATAGACAATCAAATAACAAACAGTCTGTGGTGTCACAATCGTCTGGTTCGTTTTACAATATTTCATTGACAATATCTTTAATTCAAAATTCCTGCTATGAACATATCATGATTTATACTATTATGATTATATTATTATTATTATGATATAATGATTTCTACTAAGAAACATCAAAGCGGGTATAGCGCCATCTACCGTCACAAATTGTGATTAATAATAGAATAGAATAGAATATTAGAAATAATAGAAATGTTCTATAGAATAATAGAATAGAATAGTAGAAATAATAGAAATGTACTATTATAGACTCTTGATATTATTAGTCCCCAGTCACCTGTTACCATATGATTTATAAATTAAAATGAGTCATTATTACGATTACGACACTTGCTCATGTGCAATGTGAAAGGGGGGGCGTTTCCCATAGGGGGGTATGAGTAGCATGCTTCGTCTGCTCCCGTAGCACACACTTGCCCATGCGCAATGTGAAAGGGGGGTGTTTCCTATAGGAGGGATATGTTTCATGCTTCGTCTGCTCCTCCGCAGCACCTACACGACGACCGACTGCGTCTGCAACGCCAAGGACGACTCCGCAGTCGACACGTGCAACACACCTGGCGCCATCTGTCTGAACGGAGGCACGTGCACGGACACAGCCTCGGGAGCCAGGTACGAATCGTTTCGCTATCTACGATCGCAAAATCGATCGCGTATCAATCATTTGATAAATAAGTGAGGTAATCAATGAATGTATAAATTGATCTATTGAGTTGATGGTGGGCTGCAGTTTATAACGATAAAATGTTTCACTCAGGCGAAAAACGAGAGAAAAGGAAACAGTCGGCGAATCAATCAATCCTTCGATCAATTAATCAATCACATTGATCAAAACAGAGATGAACTCTTCTCGTCACGTCGTGTCCAATCACTCAATCAATTAATCAATCAGATCAACCAAAGCCGATATCAACTCTCCTCATTGTGCGTTACATCCAATAAATCAATCAATCAACCAGATCGACCGAAGCCGATATCAACTCTCCCTATCGTGCATTGCATCCAATCAATCAAATAATCATCTGATCGGTCGAAGCCGATATCAACTCTCCCCATCGTACATTGAATCCAATCAATCAATCAATCAATCATATCAACTGAAGCCAAGATGCACTTTTTCCATCACGGCACATCCAATCAATCAATCAATCAATCAACCAGATCGATCGAAGCCGATATCCACTCTCCCTCTCGTGCATTGCATCCAATCAATCAATTCATCAATCTGATCGATCGAGGCCGATATCAACTCTCCCCGTAGCACGTCGCGTCCAATCAATCAATAAATCAATCTGATCGATTACGATCCGATACCCCCTCTCACCGCCGCGTCACCCGTCGTTGCAGGTGCGAGTGCGCGGCTGGTTTCCTCGGGCCGCGCTGCCAGCAGACGACTCGTACGTTCTCGCGCGACGGCTACGCGTGGTTCCCGCCGCTCCAGCAGTGCGACCGCACGCGCATCACCCTCGACTTCCTCACCGCCTCCGCCGACGCGCTCCTCCTCTACGACGGGCCGCTGCTGCCGCCCGCCGCCGGCGAGCCGACCGACTTCGTGTCGGTGGAGCTGACCGGCGGTCAACCGAGGCTGACGATCGACCACGGCACGGGCAAGCTGTCGCTGACCGTCGCGTCGCCGCCACTGCACGACGGAGAGTGGCACCAGCTGGACATATTAGGCGACGGGAAGGTTAGTTGGTAGAGGGAGGGTGGGAGAGAGGGGAGAAGGAAAAGGATGGTTGGGAGAGGGAGGGTTGAAGAGAGGGATGTGGAGGGTAGGAGAAAGAGGAGAAGGAAAAGGTTGGTTGGGAGAGGGAGGGTGGGAGAGCGGGGAGAAGGGAAATGTTGATTGGGAGAGGAAGGGTGGGAGAGAGGGGAGAAGGGAAAGGTTGGTTGGGAGAGGGAGGGTGGGGGAGAGGATTGGAGAGAGAGAGGGTGTGAATGATGAGGAGGGTGGGGGAAAGGGGAGAGGGAGGAGAAGAGCGAGAGAGACAGAGAGAGAGAGAGAGATAGAGATAGAGAGACAGAGAGAGAGGACAGAGATATATATGTAATATATAAGAGAAGAGGGAGACAGGGAGTGTGTGGGGGAGAGAGATATTAGAGATAGCATAGATAGATGAACAGAGAGAGAGAGAGAGAGAGAGAGAGAGAGGAGAAAGAGAGAGAGAGAGAGAGAGCGAAGAACGAGAGAGGAACGGAGAGAACAGATGATGGCAGCGTGTATCAAAAAGCGATTGCACCTCCAGAACGAGAACGAACCGCTAAACTTTAGCCCCGGCACCCGCAACAATGCGCCTCATCACACATAACCTTCCCCGGTATCTCGCACGCGTGTGCCAGCGGTGTGTTCCGCCTGCGTGCCTTCTGTTCAGGAATCACCTTCGCGTGACATAGTGCGCAACGTCCCGCTGACGGCGTCGCCCGAGAACGGAGGCGTACGACCGCGCTCGGCGTGCGAGGGGCGCGCGCACGACCCCTGTGGGCAACTCGTACGTAAACCTAATCGGCGCCGCGCACTGGGCGGCATGGCGGACGCTGGCGCCAGCGGTGGCGATACTCCGAATCATAACCTCACAAGACGGCGCTTCGAGGATTGCATCACTCAAGAACCGTCGTGCTAGGACGGTACCGCGTATCGTAATTCTAAATGATAAGTTTCGTAAAGTAATTATAATAATAGATAAAATTGATATAAGAATGTATAAAATGCGATATGTGACGCTGTACGTAACTTAACAGTCTTGACGCCGGTTCCCCGGCGCAGCCGCGCCGCTGCGCTTAGGGGAGATAAAGAGTAGAAGGCTAAAGAAATGAGAACATGAGAGAAGGAGAGAACGACAGTATTATATTATGTATATATATCATTTATGTGTGTGTGTGTGGCATGTAGATGAATATAATGAATCTAAGAATTAATAAGATAACAAGAGAGATTCAGTATAGAGAGGATAAAAATAGGCTGCACATTAGGCTAGAACATCATACCACTAACGTTTATAGTCAGACCTATTCACATCTGTTACATTATGTTTTTTCTTACATTATGCTCGCAACCAATTTTTCAATCTATTAAATTAGTGTACATAGAAGTATTTCTTGTATTATCGCTCATCATAGATCAAGTCAGAATATAAAAATAAATAAAAAGTAATAATAAAATTGCAATATCCCGTATATAAACATGTATAAAATTGATGTGATGGCTGAGTAACTTAAACCCAATTTCGATATTCTAGCCCCACGTGGATATATCGTTTCCATGGCCATCGAAGGTTCGCGTCGATGTCAGATGTACCGTCAGTGTGACGTCAGTGGCTAGCCACGCACCATAGACTCAATCACGCACGCCCATCCATGTATGCATATAGGGCAGTCATCCCATAATAATGATTCGAGCAACCAAAATCAGCGCAGGGCGGCGTGTGCGCCGTCACGTTCTTCTTTGAGGTGGTGGGTTCGAATCCCTCATGTTTGATTTTTTTTATTTTCCTATTTGCTATCTTTATCCATTTAACTATTTGTGTTAGTGTTAAGTGTTAGTTATTAGTGTTAATTAAATTTTATTAGGGTTAGGTTAGGGTTAGGGTTTAGGGTTACACGGTTAGGGTCATGGGTAGGGTTAGGGTTAGGTATAGGGTTAAGGTTAGGGTTAAGGTTTTTGGCATCAGGTAATGTCGTGGACGTAAGCCATCAGCAAAGCTAGCTGTAATGACAATTCAACTTCCCGTTCGTTGCCGATAGCCGAGTCGTGCGTGACGTAGCACTGCACGTACGCGCGAACCTTCGATGCGAATGGAAACATATATCCACCTTCCGTCACAGATGTTACGAGCTTGAGACGCCGAATAACAAGAGAACAGTGCTTTTCGTCCGGGCTGCGGATAGCACTGACAACGCGCGTCGTGCATCGACCTGTGGCCCACCACCCCTGCTGTGTGCGAGAACGGGGAATGGTGTTGGTTAGCATGGTGGGTGCAGGTAGTGTGCGCGTGCTTCCCCGCTGGGCCGGCCTGACCTGCGTACAAGGTAGGGAGGAGAGGGCAAGAATGAGAGAGGGCGAAGAGAACGGAAGAGGAAGAGAGGCAAGGGAAACAAAGAGAGAGAGAGAGGAGAGAGGGAGAGGGGGAGAGCGGAGAGAGAGGGAGAGAAGGGAGAGAGGGAGAGAGGGGCGAGAGGCGGGAGAGGCGAGAGAAGGGAGAGAGGGAAGAAGAGGGAGAGAGGAGAGAGGAGAGAGGGAGAGAGGGAAGAGAGGTGGGAGAGGGTGGAGAGGGGAGAGAGGGAGAGAGGGAGAGAGGAGAGAGGGAGAGAGGAGAGTGAGGAGAGGGGGAGAGGGAGAGAGAGGGAGAGAGGAGGAGAGGAGAGAGGGGGAGAGGGAAGAGAGGAAGAGAGCAGAGAGAAGAGGAGAGAGAGGAAGAGGAGTGAGGGGCGAGACAGTCCCACCTCTGTATATTATTTTATCCAATCGTTCATTTCACTCGATTTTCATGCACATAAATTAACCCAAACTTTCCATCAGTTCACACTAACCCAACCTTTTCATAACGACCTCCCCATGTAGTGGTATACGCACTAGCTACATACTGACACACGTATACACACGTACACACGCTTCAGGACTATTTTTTCTCGCACTGGCGCCCGCTTTTGCTCCCCCCCCCACAGCATAGCGGAGAGGTTAATGCTATATTACGTATATATTTATAATATAATTAAAAATAAATAAATAAATTAAATTTTTATATATATTTATTAAAAATAATATGTGCGTTTGCCCGCAGCGAGTTCCGGGAGAGGTACTGGACGGGACGACAGCAGCGTGCGCTAAACAGCCTGAACAGAGCGTCAGGCTGAAGCCGCAGTGGACAGCACGTGCTGTTCGCGATCGCACTGATTCGTCGCGGACGGGCATGGCTATTCTAACGGCGGAGGGAACCGGACGGTCTACACTAGACGCGATTTCGGTATCGTGGCAGGTACGGGGGGAGGGAGAGGGGGAGGGGGGAGGAGGGGGCAGGAGGGTCAGCAGAAGAAGGGAAGCGGGGAGGGAGAAAATAAGAGGAGAGGTGCATGCGTATTCTAGATTTCACGCGTAGGGAACCGAACGGTACATCGCTAGACGCAAGTTCGTTTAACATCGGTGCAGTAGTACGGGGGAGGGAGAGGGGAGGGGAGGGGGAGGCAGGGAGGGGAGAAGGGGCAGGGAGAGAGAAGGAGGACGAGGGAGAAAGAAGACCGGAGAGGGTGGCATGCTAATTCCAAACGCGGAGGGAACCGACGTCTAATAAATAAACCTAGAACGGGCGCGAGTTCGTCATCGTGCAG